ATTTCTCCCAGCAGAAACGCTCAGGGCTGGGATCGTTCTGATGTTTTTCCCTTGGCACAGATATCTGCAGGCAGCCGGTTCTGCCGAGGCGACGCAGCGAGGCGCTGCCAAGCACGATGCACAGCGGGGCTGACATTTCCGAGCAGCATTTGGTGGATGATTAATGCTGCACAGTGTGGAGCTGTGCCAGAGCCGGTAGTGAAGTGGGGCACAGGGGTGCAAAGCCCCACTTGTAAGGCTGACAGCCCCCGGTGCCACCATTTGGCTGCATTGGTGCCAAACCTGCAGCGGAGCATCTCCATGCACAGGGATGTGGCTGCAGTGCCTGTGCCTCCAGCAGAACCCATTGGTGCCCATTTTGGGTACAAGTGATGCACTCAACCCAGAGGTGCCACCCACCCTTGTATCCTGCACCTCTTGCTCCCAGGGCAACACTGAGCCACGGTGATGCTGCAGGGGGGAACCAAGCAGTGGAGCCGGCACTCAGCAGCTGCATTTGCTCAACTCAGAGTGCAAATGATTAAACCGTTATTTAGTTTTGTTAATGCTAAATTAGAGGCTTATTACGGGTTAAAGCAGTTATTAAGAAATGCTATTAAGCATCAACAGTGCTTAATAACTGCTTTATTAAACAGCTGTGCATGCTGGACACCCACCCATAGCCATGCACCCTGCAGACCCCATGGTGATGTGAGCGTCTCCATCCCCACGGCCCACATGCAGGGAGGTGAGCACTGGGTGCCCGCAAAGGAAGGGCCCAGACCAGAGACTTTGCAACTCCAAGCTTTATTCGGTTGCGGTGTGACTCACACGGAGGGAGATGGGAGGTGAGGCCTTGGGGGCAGCGGCAGATGGGGGCAGCGCTCGGCCCCCTGTGCCCGGCAGTGCAAGGGCTTCAGTTGGAGGGGTGGTAAGCGCCGCGCTGGTGCCACTGCATGTCCCGAATGCGCCGCACCGACTGGATCTGGGGGTGCTGGGCGCCAAACTCGGAGCTGTCTTTGTAGTCACCCTTCTCAAACAGGTACTGGTAGCCTCGGTAGCCAGGGTACTGATAGCCCACCCACCTGCGGGCAAGCACAAGGCCTGACTCAATGGCCACCGCACGACCCACTGGCCATAACCCAACCCAATGGCCATAACACAACCACTGGCCATAACCCAACCCAATGGCCATAACACAACCAATGGCCACAACATGGCCCGAGGGCCACAACACAACCAATGGCCACAGGATGGCCACGGCGCAGTGCCACGTGGGCGCATCGTCCACTCCCCTCACCCCCTACTCACGTGCCACTCTGCACCCGCACGGAGGAGACCTTCTCCTGGTAGCCGTGCGCATGGAAGCTGGGCACGTCGTCGTCAATGATCTCAATTTTCTTGCCGGTGAAGCTGGGGTTTTCATACAGCACAATCTTGTGCTCCTGGCTGTCCTGCAGCGGGGAGAGCGGAGGTGGGGATCAGCACCGCCAGCCCCAGGGCTGGGCAGGGGGCAAAGCTTGGGGCCGTGGGGAAACTGAGGCAAGGGGTCCCCCCGCCGCACCCCCCAGCAGCCGCCCTCCGCTCTCAGGGCACCACTCCCCATCCCAACCACCCCCGGGGGTCCCTGAGGGCTGCCCCTCCGCCTGTGGGGCTGGGGAGGGCGGGGGAAGGCGGGGGAAGCCATTGGGCTGCAGACCTTGGTCTGGCGGGTGGGTAGTGGCTGTCGGGGTGCTCTCACCACTTTGATGGGTCTCAGGGAGGTGATGCTGTCGCTTCTCCGGCTGTTGGTCCAGGAGTCCCAGCGGGGGTACTCCCCCTTCTCAAACACAAACTGCTCACCCTTGCAGCTTGCCTGCTCGTAGCCCACCCAGCTGGAAGGGAGCAGAGGGGTGGGCTTCAAGGGGGGGCTGCGATGAGCCCCCCGCCATGCCCCCTCTTCTCCATGCTATGAAACACAACGAGCACTGCAGTGCAGGGGGAGCAGCCTCCATCTAAGGCAAACACAGGTACCCCCCTCCCAGGACCCCCCTCCCCCACCAACGTACGGTCCGGAGTGCACGAGGATGGAGCCCACTTTGTCCACGCCGGCATCCTTCAGGTTGGGGCAGACACCACTGAGCTCATGGCAGCGGCCCTGGAAGTTCTCCTGCTCGAAGATCGCAATCTGCAGGAGAATGAGGCCATGAGAGCAGGGCATGGCCCATGCTGACCCCAAAATAAGCACTGACCATAGGGGCCCCCACCCTCACGGCACAGCCAACAAGGCGCATCCCCATGAGCCGCCAGCTCAGCACTGATTTCATGGTTCAGTGGGGTGGCAGGAGAGCGTGCATCACATCTGTGGGGATGGCAGGGGACTGGGAGCTGATCCTGGGTCCCTAGAATGCCTTGATCACAGAGAGGACCCCAAAGGGCAGAGCAGCCGCATGGTCACCCCAGCACTGGAGCTGCAGTTGGAATGCCCAGAGGGGATTTGGGGTGTCCTGGCCCCACAGACTGACCTTGGAGCTGGCGGGCTGCTGCTTGGAGGCCGGCATCTGGTGTTCGGAAGCCATGCTCAGCTGGGCGTGCTGCTTCTTCGGGGGGAAGCTCAGCATTAGCGGCTGCCAGACTGTGCTTGTGGCCCCCGCTCCATGCCCACATCCACACCCCACACCCAGTGCTGAACCACGCTGAGCCCCATCCTGACTGTGTCCCCACTGTGCTGCTCGGGGGTCAAAGCCCCGTTCCCCATGGGGTGAGGGTCCCAGCGCGGAGCTGGGATGGGCCCTGTGCACCAAACAGCCACAAAGTGGGGCGGTTCTGGTCAAAAATTGTATGACTGACTTAGTGCCCAGCTTCGGGCAGCACTGCCCCTGGGTTGCCCGGTCCGTGGCTCCGGGTGAGAAGCTGCAAGACAGGGTGGAAACAAACCCAGAAAGGAGAGGACAAAAAGAGAGAATCCTTACCAGTGAGACCAGTACCGCCTGAGCCAGTGGAGGTCTGGGACCGAGGGGTGGAATTTATACCGCCTCGCAGCAGAACTATGCCCAGACTATTTACCAAATAGCTAGAGCATGATTCAAAGCGAGAATGCTGGATTAAACCCCAATGAAAACCTCGGTCAGCTGACCCGCCGGGCCATTGTCTCCCGAAACCCCAAGTCGAAGTTATTTCATTAGCTTTCACATTCGCCTCACCCGCTTTGTTGGGTTTGTTGGCAAGGAGATTTGGAGTTTGCATGCATCAGCCGAACGCATGCCAAGACCCAGAGCGGCCCTTGCGAACAAAGGCCCGGCAGCCCTGCTTCAGGAGTTTTGGAGCCAGGGAATTGATCCCCCCACAAACCGCTGCCGTCAGCACTTTCCTCGCGCAGTGCCAACTGGAGAGCTGGAGCGGCGAGCACCTGAGGCACCCATCCCCAGCCAGGGGATCCCCAGCCCTGTGCCAAGCGGGGTGAGCGCTGGGGGTCCTCCTGTAGCCCCAACCCTTTTTGGGGCCCCAGCAGTGACTCAGCGTGGGTTCCATCGGCACACGGGGACAAAGACACCATTGGATCGCCACTGGGCCGCATCCTGCAGCTCTGCACCTGCACGGTGCTGGCAGGATCCCACCTGTGACCAAGCCGTTTTCCTTGGTGACTTACGGATCTGAGGCCCCTCGCAGCAGCACAGCCCTCCATCGCCCCATGTGGCACACAGCATTAGCACAGAGGAGAGCAGCACTCCCAGAGCGTTCTGCAGGGCCTGCGCCCCCCACCTGCAGCTCCTCCTGCCCCAGCATCATGGGAGGACCCTGGGGCTCTTCTGCCCGGATATGTCCATCAGCACTCGCCCTGATGCACACAGGACAGCAGCACACAATCAGAGCATAGCATACGGCTCAGGAAGCACCCTCATGGGGCCACACGGAGCTGGGACTGCAGGAAACTGCTTCACACCAGGGATGGCTTTCGGCAGCTCTGGTGCGTGATCCATTGATGCAACAGATCCAGAGCAGGATCCTTCTCCATCCCCAATGCTAGGGGCAGAGGCACACAGTGTGAAGGGTGGTCACGTGCCCAGCTGCCGTCACCATCCCCCACGAGGGTCCCCCCAGCCCAGGGTGAGGGCACATGGCGCAGCACCGAGCAGAGAATCATAAAAGTAGGTAAAGACCTTATCCAGTCCCACCCAAACCCACCCCCACCATGCCCACTAGCATGTCCCCATGTCACAGACAACCGCACACGTGGGGTGCTCAGGTAGCTGTGACCCATCCCTCATCCCTGCTGCCAGTCCCAGACATCACCCCTACTTCCACGCCCCATGCAGCTGCTCACAGTACCACCACTTGGGCACAAGTGCCAGGATGGATCCTTCTCTAATTCTGGGGCTCACAGCAGGATCCAGCAGTTGGCCCCAAGGCTCTGCCCTGCTGCGTGCCCCATCCGGGACAGCCTCATCCCAACACAGCGGGACCAGCAGGACAGGGTGCAGGAGATGCCCCATGCACCTGGTTGGCACCAGGGCCACATGCACAGCCAAGGTCATGCCATGCCTGGCATCCCTGGTGGCTGCACCAGCACTGAGCTCACAGCATGGCACATGGCACAGAATGCATTTGCAACGAAAGGGGCTGCGGGGAAGTGTTGGGGAGATCAGCCTGGGAAGCAACAGCTCTGGAGGTGAAACAGTGCTGCAGTGTGCGGTGCAGGGGCAGCCCCAGGGATGAAGGATGCACAGGAGGCTGAGGGCTGCGCGATGCCCTGGGGGTTATACATGGGGCGCAGTCCAGCCGTGGGTCAGCCCCACTCTGGGTGCTGCACAGCATGTGAGCTGCCCACATGCCCAGCCGTGCTCCAGCCTTGGTCCCGCTGTGCTCAGGGGCATCGCTCCCACGGCCCAGGCTTTGAGAAGGGAACAAACCCTTGGCAAGCGCCCCGAGCCGCAGCCCCGGGGCTGTTGGTTTTGGACGGCCGCAGCCTTTATGTAACACTGCACCCGCTCCGTGCGCCCCGGCTGCGCCCGCTTCCCACCCTGAGCACGCAGCGCCACAGCCTCAGCTCAGAGCTTTATTGAGGTTTTTGCACAAAGAACACCAAACCGATGGCACCGGCGGTAGCATCACCACCGCCCATCGCAGGGCCGGCACGACACTCAGCTGTTCTCGAAGCAGCCACGCTGGTGCCACTGCTGGTCCCGCACGCGGCGCACCGACTGCATCAGGGGCTGGTTGGCATCCCACTCGTTCCAGTGCCGGTACTCGCCCTTCTCAAAGACGTGCTGGCGGCCCCGATACCCCGGGTACTCATAGCCCACCCACCTGCGCATGGAGGCAGCGCTCAGCGGGGCCGTGGGGACAATTTGCTGTCCCCAGGACAGGAGAGCTGCCCCGTCCCACCGCTGTCACCCTTACGTTCCGTTCAGGGCCCGGACGCTGGCCACCCGATCCTGGAAGCCGTGGGCCCACAGGCTGGGCACGTCGTCATCCACGATCTCCATCTTGCGGCCGGTGTAGCCAGCATTCTCAAAGAGGTGGATCTTGTGGTCAGGGCTGTCCTAAGAGGGACATGGGTTAGGGGATAACCCCACGACCCCCTCCAGCCCTCTGTGCCCCCCACTGCCACTACTCACGATCTGGAGGGGGCGGAGGGACATGAGGCTGTCGCTGTTGTGGCTGTTGGACCAGGAGTCCCAGCGCGGGTAGTCACCCTTCTCCAGCACAAACTGCTCCCCAGCAAAGGCCTGCCGCTCAAAGCCCAGCCACCTGCAGGGCAGCACGTCAGCACTCCCCGCAGGGGGACATGGCCCAGGGCAGCTGTATCCCAGTCCCACCCCCCAACTTACGGGCCGGACTCCACCTGGATGGAGCCCACCTTCTCCAGAGCTTTCTCGACCACGTTGGGGAGCTCCTCGCTCAACTCACACCTGCGGCCCTGGAAGTTCTCCAGCTCATAGATGGTGATCTGGGGGTGCAGAAACAGCACCAGCTGCTGTGGGTGGCTGCGCATCCTGTGCCAGCACAGAGCTGAGCTGAGCACTCAGTCTTGGAGCCCGCCAGACCCACACGGATGTTAGCATCACATCCCCATGCCGGGGACAGCGCTCCACTGATGGTAGATCTGTGGCCCAGTGCTGGCTCCCACCAGTCCCACCACATCCCAGGCATGCTCCAGCCCTGAGAAAGAGCTCATATTTGGGTATTTTCACCTCAAGCCCCATTGCCTCACACAGACTGCTGTGCAGCGCTGAGGCAGATCCTCACCCTGGGGGGGTCCCAGCTGCAAGCCCCGGTCTGGGTCACCGGGTGGCACGCAGGATAGAGGTGACACCCACAGCCCTCAGCCCAAACCCACAAACAGCAGTTCATCACCGCCCGAGCAGAGAGCCGCAGCAGTGCTCCATCTCCTGGAGCTGCACGCACTGCAGCCCAAGAGGAAAAATCACGGGGAGGTGACAAACACACCGGGACACAGCTGCTGCTGGTGGCTCTGATGGCACCGGCGCAGCCAGGGGCTTCACCACGTAGCACTCGGGTGCTGGTGACACCACAGTGACCAACCACACGCACAGGCAGCGTGTCACCACCATCCCCGCATACCTTATAATTGCCACCGCGCTCACCAGCGCCCTCCCCAGTCACCATCTGCTCGGGGGGACTCTGCTGCTCGGTCATCGTGCCTGGAAAACCCAAATCGCGGCCGTTAACGCAGCATCGGCTTCAGGTGAGGCACCTGACCCTCCCCACTGCTACAGGGTTAATAGGAGCGGGATCCAAGCAAGCCCCACGCGTGCCGTTCTGGTTAATTGCGGTTAACGACACCCCGCAGCGCCGCTCCTCGCCCCGGCCCGGCTGCGCCGCACACCTCTTGCTGTGTCCCGCGGCGATGCCCTGCTGCGGCGGCGCTATTTATGGGCTGCGTCTGCCCAGGGCAGCACTTTGCTCGGATGCTGATGCAGCAGCCGCGTCCGCTTGATTCCATCCGTGAGATTTCACCTCAATAGGGCGGGCGCGCGGCGCTGCATGGGAGCAGCGGTGGGATTTCTCCCGGCCGCCCCTTAAAAATGTGCCGCAGATTAACGTCGAAATCGGCGTCAGCACGTTCACGGAGCTTCTTGCCAGGAGCTCTGGAAAACTCTCCCATCAGCAGCAAAGGGCAGGGCTGGGGCAGAGCACAAGCAAACACCGTGCAGGGCACTGAAGCTGCTGGGGGCTGCTCACGGCATGGAGGCAAGGGCGAAGGCGCGCAGATCCCCAAACCCATCTTACAGCCTTGCTCCTGACCCCAAAGCCACGTCCTCCCTAGAAGCCCACCTTTTCCTCTCTGTAATTCATGAGGATGAAGAAAAAGCGACCACTGCTGACTTGCTCCTGATCAAAGAGGTCAAATCCATGAGAGAAACCACTTGCTCCTCCTTCCCAACACTTGTGCTCAGCTGGGGCAGAGCGGGACGCACACCATGGTTCCCTCCCAAGGCAGAGACTGGCTCACCCCCAATGGGACCACGATGGGGTATGGGAGCCTGCCCTGGGATCACAACACAGCCCAACTGACTCGTTAGGTGTCTCTAATTAACACAGAGCTGATGAACGCACCGCTTTAAGGGCACGTTCCCACCTCACCTGAACAGCAAACACAGCACGTGGCAACAGAAGCGTGTGAAGAAAATAAACGTGTACGTAAAGTGTATTACAGTCTGTTCTGCCATTTATCACATAGGAACATGTTCATAGATCTTTTATTACAGTGAGAACCTGCAGAGAAGGAAGTAGGGATATTCAACTCTTATACAATATAAAGAAATAGAGCAGAAAAGACACTTTCCCATTCAACATCATTCTAAAGATGCTTTTTAATTAGACATGTAAGCATTAAACATTTCTCAGTAGTAGGTTGAACTACTAAATACAGTAAGTTTCAGTGCATTGTCCAAGCAGACGTGGAAATGCATACGCATTTGTTCCCCAAACACAGAGCCAAGGCTGTGGGCAAAGAATCTCTGCCTTCATCTGTCAGACCATAGAGCAGCCAGCTCTCCAATGAGCGCTAACGCAACGCCGTCAGCCTGCTGAATGAAGCCTGCCTAAGTGTTCTGGTAAGCAGGGGGAATTTACCTGATTTCTAGATCTTTTTTAAAGTGGGGCTGAGCTGGTGAATGCGGCCTGAAAAATTCCAACAGCCGTGCGCACAAAGCTGGCCTCAGATCTGCCTTTTCCACCACGATCCAACAAGAAGGGAAGAAAACGTGCAATTTGTTGAGAATCGGCTACGGGCAGCTCCTGTGGGTGACCCCGTTTGAGCAGACATCCACGGCTCGGGGCTGGAAGGTCAGGTGGCGAGCTGGGAGGTGGAAGAGGCTTCAGATGGGACGGGGGCAACGGTGTGCAATGGGGCACGGCAGCAAGGAAGGGTTTTAATTAGAGAGCCGTGCTGATGAAGCGCGAGGAGCCGCTACTGCAAGCGGAGCTGGGCAGACGTGCAGATGGGCCCTGCGTGCTGCCGTGCCCGCGAGCAGGGCGGCTCCTCCAGGAGGAGCAGTGGCACACGGGTTTGGCAGCGAGGGGCTCGGCAGGCAGCAGCACTGCTGTGGGAGCCCCGCATGAATGGGAGCCTTCTGACGAGCTGGGATGGTGAAGGAGAAAAGGAGAAAAAGTTCAGTGCTGGTGGCTGCGTCTGCAGGAGCGAAGGGCGCCCGGCAGCGGGGCCGGAGCAACAGGCGGCTCCTCCTCCGGGCTGCTGAAAAGAGCACTTAATGGGGAAAGGATCAGGTGTGCCCCGAAGGGCCACCGTGCCTGACAGCCAAACCTGCGTTCAAAACACGGAGACCCAGCGGCAGCCTGAGAGCTGCGTTACGCCTGAGGCCATGGGAGCGGCTGCCGGAACCTCAGCCTTAGCAAAAGAAGGACAAGGAAATGAGCTGAGCCCGCAGCTCAGCTTCAGGCCGCCCCACACAGTCGGCATAAAAACAGAACTTGAAACGGGTATTTACAGATCAACGGATAAAAACATGAAGTGGGATCATCCAAACTGCGGTGAAAGTGACGTTCGACAATCGACTGGAACCCTGATATGAGTAGAACATCCTCCCTCTTGTCTTCCTTTTTTTTTTTTGTTATAAAAAAACAGTATTTACATTCTTTTTTTATATATATATGTATATATGTATATATATCTTTTTAAAGAGAACTGGTTGACGTTATTGCTTGATCCTTTTTTGTAGGAAAGACATTCCGATGAAGCAATTATCCCACATGCTGACAAAACACTGAATGCACCACTTCAAGGGTGACCCAAAATTAACAATTTGTTCATCTAAAAAAAAAAAGAAAAAAAAAGAGATCCATCTGCCGGATCAGCAGAGCACACGGAAGTAGAAGCCAATCAAAAATACATTGTACAAAAAAAATCATCAAGTTTCCTTTTTCAGTATGGCAGTAAACATCATTTGTTCTTCCACTCTCACATTCCGCAAACTTCCTTCTCAATAGGAGCTATTATTCTTTTTTTTTCAACCCCCCCCCCAAAAAAGATAAATGTGATTAAAATCCTGATGTTCATAAACAAACACAAAGCCCAGCCTCACACCCGTCTACCTGAAGTCAGACTTCTCAGGTGCTGAGCATCCAGGTAGGAATGAAGTCTTTGTTCTACAGCGAGGGGACTTCTCCAGTGCACAGCACTCCTACATCAAACACAATCTTTCTGAAAGTTAGTGCTATGAACCACTGGTTCTTCTTCCAGGTAGCTCTAAAGTGACCATCCTCCCACATCCGGAAAGATACAGCTTTGTATTTGACTATGAATATTAAGCAGCTTTCTCCACAAAACAGGAAGGCACCATGCACATAGCAGTTGAGGCAGGAAGCAAACAGCAGCAACATGACGTGTGAATTTTAAGTTCAGATGAGTTAAGGCTTCTGTTAAACTTCTTTATCTTCTTCTAGCTAGAATCACTATCTGAAAAGGAAAAAACAACACAGAAATTGTTGAAGTAAATGAATGAATGGCCAAGGAATATCATAGAATACAGGTTGGAAAAGACTACTAAGATCATCTGGTCCAACCACAAAAGCAGTGAAGCACTTTTTAGCATCTGCAGTAGCAAAGACCCACAAATGTCTGTTTACTGGTGCAGTGTCATCGTGGTCTCGTCCTGTTCAACGCACTGAACATCCAAGAGCTGCCCAGAATGCTGCTGAAAATCAGCATGCTCATATTGTGTACAAGTCTCACTTCATACAGTCATAATCATGGAACCATAAAGGTTGGAAAAGACCTCTAAGGTCATCCAAGCCCAGTGGCTGCCTTGCTGCTGGTCAACAGAAGCACCAGGGAATGGCAGCACAAATAGGCTGAGAGGTGTCAAAGCAAAACCAACTGCAGAGAATGAGTGTAAATAAATGTGTCCAGGAATGCAGTCTACTTTAATATTTACACTTACACAGCTGCTATACTGACACGTTAAGGAAATATTTTCCATGTCTCTCTTGTCTTTGCATGCTTTCATTTAGCAAAGCCCCACTTTCAGCATCAGAAGATACCTTTATCAAACCTGATTCTCATAATGGCTCTGTCTCTTCTTTGATTTCAGCTCCTTAAGCCACTGAGGAGATTTTTCCTCTGACCTAGGATATAAAAACACACTCTTTAATAATGAAAATTCATTTAAAAAAAAAAGAAAAAAAAAGAATTACACAATTTTCTCGAGCCTCAGGAGCCCTCCTTGCATCTTTTTGACTCTTGTGGAAGTCTCTCACCTTTCCTCCTTCTCTACACTGGAGGGCAGTATTCTGCTACCAGTTCCAAGCTGTGGTTTAGGGGATTTGAACGGCTGAGCAGAACTTGGCTCACCAGGACTCTCAGATTCGTGTCTTTTCCGCAGCTGGGCCTAAAAAGTGAAAATAAAGAACAGGGGTCCTTCTTAAGGCAGCAGGAAGGCTGTGCAATGCAAAACCCATCACACATTTATAAAAGAAACGATCCGACAAACTGTGCCTTTACTCACCTTGAGAACAGAGTGGTCCATTCCTGGAAATATGGGAAGCCTCTGACCTTGCATAGCAGACAGTCTCCCAGAACGCAGTGTCCTTTCTTCCTCATCAGAATCCTCTTGTTGCATAGGTTTCTTCTCTTCTAATCAATTGTTTAAAAGAAAATATATATGTTCAGCAAGCTTTCCACCTCTAAGTTGTTATAGAACTCTGCTGTTCAAAAATGTATTAAGAGTAATAGTAATGCACCACTGTAATGAGTTCAGTGCTCCGATGGAGCAACAATCACCCTGAACACTCAGCAACAGAAAGATTTCTTGCTGGCTGACAGAAGGGAACCAAAGGTACTCCTAAGTTAACGAATGTCACTTTGTGGAGACCTGAGAGTGGCCCTTCAGTATCTAAAGGGGCTGTGAAAAAGAAGGGGATGGACTCTTTAGCAGGATCTGTTGGGAAAGGACAGGGGGAAATGGTTTCAGACTTAAAGAGGGGAGATTTGAGAAGGATATTGGGGAGAAGTTTTGACACTGAGGGCAGTGAGGCACTGCACAGGGTGCCAGAGAGCTGGTGCTGCCCCATCCCTGCACACAGCCACGCTCAGGGCACGGGGCTGTGAGCACTGCTGGAGCTGTGGGTGTCCCTGTGCACTGCAGGCACTGGGAGCAGACGGCCTTTGGGGGTCCCTTCGGACTCTAATGGCTCCACAACCCCTTCACTCATTATTTTCTCCACAAACAAGCTTGTCTTATGCCAGCTGCCAGAACTAACAGAGATGGAAGCTCTCCTCCACTTCAGTCTTTGGTAGCTCACGGCAGCAGAGCTCCCTCCAGGCTCCAAGGAACGGAGGGGAAGACTCAATTCAGAGGATGGCCCAGAGGTGGCAAGAAGAAGCTACTGCTAGACTACAGTGCAACTCCAGGTGCATTCCAACATTGAGAAACTGCTGCCCTTGCAACCAAGTTGATTACACCTCGTTATTTCAGACAGCTGAGGGATACCTGTGGAATCTTTGAACATCCACGCACTGCCCGATTCTTCCGTCAACGAAAATCTGTTTTCATACTCCAGCCCTCTGCTTCTCCTCAGAGAGTGGGAAAGAGGAGCACGATGGCGTCGCTTCTTGCTGAGCTGCACGCGGTTTTTCAGGGCGCTGGAGTCCAGAACAGTGGTTTGCTATAAAAAGAAACAAACCCCTTCTTCTCAACCAGACTGAAAATAAAAGCCACCCCCTGCATAACGGCTCCCCACCCCATTTGCACCAAACCCTACAGTTCAACTAAACGATATGTATTTGCCTGATCATTACTCTTCTTGCAGGAAGCTATATTAAAGAGAATTAATGATGAGGAGATGCTGCATTGTGGCTAACTGGGTGCAACGCTGGGCCTTTGATCTCTCTTGGCTGTGGACATCTGATCTGCATGAATTAGTTTCACTAAATGAATTAACAAACGGGATTTGGGTTGCTGAAGTGCTTTATGAATGCGGGCCTTGCTAGCTAGTAATAGCTGATGGCCAAGAGGGAGACTGGGATGTAAAAAGGACAACTAGACCAAGTCCTGGTGTAGCTGAGGGCTGTAATTTAATTTAACGTGATGACAGATTGCCATCCATTGAACTTCCACGCTGGCTTACCAGCAACAAGTAGACCACAAGTGAAGCAGCATGGCATTGAAAAAAAGAATTACCTCCTCGATCCATAAGAAAGTTATTAA